AACAGTCTTCAGGTTAAGAAGATTGGGTTTAGGCATGAAACAAACTGTCGCCGCTGGGTGTTGACTTCAATGTCCATTTTTATATTTACACACATTATATCCCTGATATTGAGCACTTTAAACCAAAAATAGAATACCATAATATATATAAATATGTGTGTATATGTGTGTCTTTTTCTGAAACATGACTGGCAAGGGACTTTTGTTACGTCTTGTTTTATTTTATTTTATATGCAAACAAGTGGTTTCTGTTCATGAGTGTAGAAATTGTCGAAATGTTTGTTGATTCCGAGCGGTTTCGGCTAATCTTTTACCCATTTTCATAGATCTTCGTTATCTTATTTTATTTATAACAAATCGTGTGTAATTGTTATTTTAAACAATGTAGAATTTAAGAAAATTAGATATATTCTAAATTCTCTCCGAATCAACAAACATCCGGGCGATTTCTTCACGCGTTGACTCCATAAAATAAAACACTTTTCGCATACAAGAGAAATATAATTTTTAAAAAATATTACCATTTTTACCTTGTCAGACTTGTTTAAGAAACAAATTGATTAAAATGTGACGTCATGGATCCACATTTATTTACTGTGATTAGCTGGTCTTGCGCTATGTGCAAACCCCGGTTCGCCAGGACGTTTACTCCAAGCTTATAGAATAATATGGGATTCTTTTGTACGTCAGAGATCTACGAAATTCTAGGCCATTATTTGGTTAGATCTCGGGTCTTGCAGCTAACGTTGGCATCATCTCTAGACTGTGAGGTCGTTTTGACGGTTCAAACAAGAGTGTACTTAAAATAGTTTCTCGTCTGATAATATTTTAATAGTAAAGACTAGACCAAACTGAACACGTTCTTGCAACATTCAACCTGCTGGACTTCATGGGGTTCATGTGGAGGTGTCTTGGCATCATGGTAGATGATTTATGACTAAGGTTATCAGGCAAGGCTTTTCCAATATACTCGGTTCCTCAGCTATGTTACTCAAAGATGTTATTGACCATTTCTCTGTTTGCAATTGTTGTCTCGAGGGCTTTAATGTAATCCTGTTTTCAATTTCTGTTGTCGCCACTCGTACACGGCTCTCTCTTGCCGCTATTGACCATGTTTTGGGTCTTCTTGATATTGTACGTGGACCGCAAGGACATTATATTAGGGGAGCATGAAACAATTCTGGCATACGTTGACGATGGTCCATCTGTGAAGGCATTTTCTCGATATTCAAGAAAATTGATGTATATTAACAGTTAAAAGTATTCCCAATATTTTCTGTAGAAGCTGATGGTGAATTTTATTAAGAAATTCTGACTGCAAATTTTGATATATATGAAGAAAAATATATACGAAAAAACAAACAAAAATCCTTATATACAATTATGCTGTTTTAATGTTAATATGTCAACGTCGGACGTTTCGGTCTAATAAACCATCTTCAGGACATATTCATAAATTATAACATTATCAATACAACATGACAAAGACGATGTACATAGGAACAAGACTTATCCAAACAAATAACTGAAAGTTTTATAAGATCAGTTATTTGTTTGGATAAACGTCCGACGTTTGTTTTTAACATTAAAACAGCATAATTGTATATAAGGATTTTTGTTTGTTTTTCGTATATTTTTCTTCATACTGTCGGATCTATATCCATATATTTGCTTTTATATATATATATATATATATATATATATATATATATATATATATATATATATATATATATATATAAAAGTGGTCATTGAAGTCAACGCCCAGTGGTAACAGGCTGTTCCATGCTTAAACGCAATCGTCAGGCACGAAACACACTCTCGCCTCTGGATTTTGATGTAAATGTTCACTTTTATATTTACATATATTCTATTTCTACTATTCGGTAATTTAACCCATAAATATAGCATATCTTAAAACTATATTTTTATCATTCATTCTTGCATACATATATACATACATACATATATATATATATATATATATATATATATGTGTGTGTGTGTGTGTGTGTGTGTGTGTGTGTGTGTGTGTGTGTGTGTGTGTGTGTGTGTGTGTGTAAGAGCGTGGGCACTCAAGCGAACACCAAGAGGCCAGTCCGTTTCATCCTTGAAACCAATCTTCAGGCAATCAAGTGTCCGAGCATTAAACAGACTGTCCCGACTCAGCTTGGTGTTGAACTTAATGCCCGCCTGTATATATACACACGTACTATCTCTGATATTTAGCACATTTTTTTTGTAAATAAAGCATACCTTCAAACTATATTTTTCATATATACGTGTGTGTTTGTGTGTGTTTAAACACGTATAATCTCCTTGCAAACTCAAAACTTCAAATGAACTATTATGATATCACAGATTTCGTGTTTTTACAGCTTTTCAATAAATATCAGCCACTGAATGCCATTTAGAAAAAAATCGAAATAAAAATCACTTATTAGATGAAAATATTATTTTCAGAACACTGATGCTAAATTTGGTATAAGCTTTTCTAATGCATATATATATAAACCCTAAATATTTATATATATATATATAGGAATATTTGTTTTTTTATTACTTTAAAAGTGACGATTAGTGGATACACGCTTTCGAGTGGACGTCTCTCTTTAAATATAATATTAATTTACAATGTAAAGTATGTTTACCGGACTGCGAGCACGCAAATCTATCTATCTATCTATCTATCTATCTATCTATCTATCTATCTATCTATATATATATATATATATATATATTCTCATTTCTATAAACGTTATTTTAAGTGGATGTACGTGTTTAAGTTGGTGTTCTTATTTTATTAAACAATGAATTTAATAACAACTCGCCCAAATTGAGAAATGCTACTAAGGATAAATTGTGACTCTAATATGAATCGAACTCTCATCCCTTATTTCTGTCGGGGAAACCGTTTTTTCAGCCAAATTACAGGTATGCCTCGGTTTACGTCGTTTAGAGTTAAGTTGTTCTCGATTATACGTCGTTTGTCAAAAAATATATGGAAAAATAAATATCAAGTTTAAGTCATTTTATTCGACTTTACATCTGTCCGCCACAAATATTGAAGTCGTACTTTCCCTAGAAATGCATTAAAAACACATAAAATCATGTTACTGTAAATAAATAAGAATAATAGTATATAAAATCATATTAAAATACGTACATTTACAGTAAAAAATTAATATAATCATCGTAAATCCTAGTAAGTTTATAACCATTGGTAAATTTAACATAAATTATTTCATTTTCTACTATCGCAAAACAATTTTAATAACTGTATTTGTTATTTAACCTTACAACATCATTTTATTTTATAATGCCATAGAACAAACCACATTCATGAATAAAAGAGCCCGTGATGTACTCTAAAGCCCGCCAAATTGTAAACATCTTCATTTACAAGTATATACATACATGTATTTGTAAATTTAGATTACTTTCTTTTTGTACTATATTAAAAACTAAAATTTTATTTGTTTGTAATCTTAAAATAGATTCTTATTTCATTGAAAATACATTTATAAATAAAATACAGAACTGGTTATGGTTATTTGGGGTTTAGCCTAGTGACAAGTAAATTCGGAGTCAAGTAAATTCGACTTAAGTAGTTTTTCGATTTAAGTCGCCTCTCCTGGAACAAATTACCGACGTCAGGTGAGGTATACCTGTATGCTTCTTACAATTTCGACGACAAAGCCATAAAACTACGTTCCTTTATATGCGTTCAGTTTTATCTGTGAATATGTTTGAGAATTGTGAATAATTTGCGAGAGTTTAAATGATATTTATTAAGAAAATTACCTATATTATATTTTCACTGATTTATATCCACATATGCAGCCATGGATATATATATATATATATCTATATATTGGAGAGGCATATATGTAATTAAGCAGTTTTATATTAATTTTCCTTATATCTATTATTGAATTATTTCATCCCCAAACCATGGCATTACAAGTTTAATATAGTGTTTCAATTTTGTTTCCTAAATATTAATACGAATAAAAGACGGCGCGAAACAAAACGTTTCCCGGCACACTTAGATATTAAAAGGCCGAGCAAAAAACATATTATCATGTTTATTTATACTAAATGTATCATGATAGCGTTGGGGAGATGTCATTCCACGAAGTCTTTCCTTGTAGACTGACCACAGATTCTCGATTGGAATTAAATCGGGAGAGTTTCCGGGCCAGTCTATAGTACTTTGATTTGCTCACCGGTAAGGCTTGCCTGTGTATTCGGGCAGCATTACAATTTTTCGTAAGCCTCTTTGGTGTAACCTCGACCGGAGAGAATGGCCGTAGGACAACTAATTGGCAGTCGAAACAGTTGTGTCTGGGCGTGATAAAAATTTGATGCAATCATGGATACGGCAAATATTTTTTCAAGGTCAAACAAATTTCATCATACATCCCGAAAATAGATTCATATTACTGCACACTACTGAAAATGACCTAATCTGGGGAAAAGATAGAAATCGATTACGCCCTGTCATTTCAGTGGGTCTAAAACTGACCGTATGGTGAAAGAAAGTAAACTAAAGCGGTTGTTTCAATTAATTTGCACAAGGATGTGCGTCGCCATATTTGTGATGTTGTGTCCGAAAGTATGTTATATCTATGGTCCTGACTAACTAAAGTCCAACAAAGATTTTAAATAATTTATCAAATATTTTAATATTTTAACCTTTTTCACAGATATCCGTATCAGACTGATTGATTTGTTTTATATGGTTTATCAACCCTTCGCAGGTTATTTAAAGCCAGGAAATATTTTAAATTATGAGAATTTTTCTTTTTGAGATAATGATGATTTAGCAATACAACTCTTTCTAATTAGCCCATCGCTGGGGAAGAGAAGAGGCGGGCTGATCCCCTTCAAAAGGATATTTTCGTGTGTCTATAACGAACCCAACCGGAATTGGAACTCGGCTCGCCGATTAACTGTTCCGAGCCATTATCCATTACACCACATTCACAGTCAAGGTTACGGCTAACTTGTTATTCGCAAGTGGTCACCCATCTAAGTACTTCCCAGGCTTAGTCGTTGCTTAACTTCAGTGATCGTACGGGAATCGATGTGTCAACGTGATATCAGAGAAAGCTGACATGATAATTTCAACGATGTTCTTAGTGTAGTATTTTCGTGACATTCGATGTCATTGTAACTCACAGAAACATCTCTTTGTTCTTTCTCGGAAAGGACGCCATCTTCCCTACTGTTCGTGATCAAACATATTTTAATGACGTTTCCACGTTGATTTCATTGATGTTTTCCTAGGCTTTCAGCATATATAATTTTCTGTATAGTTTTGCGTGAGTTTGCATGCATATTGTATAAATTTTGCTTTTATATATATTTATGATACTAGAAAACATGCTTCTTTTTTCTATTAGGCAAAAACTTCTACGGGACGGCGGTAAAGACTTAATATATATTGTCGCCAATATTTTAAGGGAGAGTCCGAATTTGAATACAGGTCTTTAATAACTAAACAGCTTTTTAATAACTTCCAAGATTATTCTTACAATAAAGGTATGTTCTCAGTTTTGAACCAAGCACGTTTGAACGTAAATGTATGGGAAACTATATATATTAAATCTTTGCAGCCCTACTCTGTAAAAAAAAAAAAAAAAAAAAAGGTGAGACTTTTAGATTGATTATATTCGTTAATAAATATTATAAAATAATATTCCTAATTCATTATGTTATTCTTTAGTTAAAAAAAATTCAATTTTCTGGAAGAAAAATAAAAGTAAAAATTCCAGGGAAGATGAAATTATGAAATTAATCGAAAGATAATAAAAGAACCAATATTTACATATATTCTTAATAAAGTTAATGGTGAAAATTATTTTATTTTTTTTAATTTACATACCAAACAATTAAATTCAGTTAACTAACAGAACAGAATTTAGAAGCTAAAAAAAAAGATCAACTAATGTGCATAAAATCTTTTCGGTATTAAGCAAAAAAAAAAAAAAAAAAAAAAGTTTCATGCATTCCTTTAGCAATTTAAATCATCATATTTTTTTAGAAATGCCTTTTCTATAAATTTATTCATGTATAAGGTCGTATCTACTCTTGAGAAAATATTTCTTTAATCTTTTTTTTTTATATTTGTAATTATATTTCACGTGTGCTCATTTGCGCTTGTGCACGCACGTACGTACTAGTTACTGTGTGAAAACATAAGTTTAGGTCTGTACTGTGTTGAAGATTTGTTGCCGGTTGGGTAGGTTCTTACTCTGAGTACAGGTGAGTAATTCTTTAAAAAAAAACCTTTTTTGGTAGTTTATGTTTCTACGCCAATTAACGATTTCTACTTCTGTGAATTCTTACCTTTTCACACTGAATTGCTTGATGTTTCTGCTTAAAGCGAAGACAAAGAGCCTGGCCGGCCATTGCTCACGATAAAAGACTTAAAAGACAACACTGAGAGAAAATGCGATCACGTGGTCTTCAAAGAAAATGCTGGGCTAGGTCCTGACGAAAAAAAGAAAGAAAAAGAAACAGCAAAATAAAATAAAAGAAATATTATTCTTCTTTATGGACCACTGACCTCTAAAACAGGGATATAGTGAACGAGAATTAAATTAATTAGCATATGCATTCACCTCATGGCACCAGCCCAAAAAGGCACCTACAATTCGTCTCACGCGTTAATCAAAACTTATTATCTCTTTGAGGTATTAAAAGAAGCCGAATAGAGAGGTGAAGCAGTTCATAGGAAAATTTAAATGATGTCTGAAGTTCAGGTGTGAAATATATCTTTGTCATTCGGACCTGCATATGAATCCAATGGGAATGATGGCAAAAATTGATTTTTTTTTAAATAATTTCACCCCAAAGCAAGGCGGGAATACCACTAGTACACAGGGGGTTACAGGGAATGAAAGTAAGAGAAAAGACTTAGTACAGAGAGGATTTAGAAAAAGACGAAACATGAGCGGGATTGAAAAAGATAGATGGCGATTGACACTGCATTTAAAATTTTTAAAGATTGTAGCTATAAGTGAAGGAGTTCCACCGGTGGGAAGTACGAGAAAGAGAAACGAGTTGGAGTAGAAGTAGCTGTTGTATTTAGCTATTTCAACGGTAAACAGGTGAGAAGTAGATGACAATCTAGTGGCACACTTAAATTCTTCAGTCGGGGCATCAGGGAAAAAAAAACTCGTCAGAGCAGTTGCCATGAGATTTTTTGTAGAAAAGACAGAGGGAAGCCATGTCCCGTCATTGAGAAAGTGACAGAAGTCAAATCAATAGACGCCTACTCTTGTGCTATGGTTAAAAAATTAGTTATTCGCTATTGTGACGAGATAATCTTCAGGGATTCAACGCTAGTCGTGTCTTGTATCGCTCTAAGTTTAATGCAATCGATAATCTATTCTAGTACAAGATTTAGCCAGTTAAGCATTTAATTGTGATAGCAATTTTGTTGCACATTGAGACCACCATGCATGTGATCTTGTGTCAAACAAATGTAAGATAGATAAGCTTAAAGAAAAAATATCACCAGGTCGAAGTCTTCTCCTTCAATATTTAAAATTTTTAAAGATTGTAGCTATAAGTGAAGGAGTTCCACCGGTGGGAAGTACGAGAAAGAGAAACGAGTTGGAGTAGAAGTAGCTGTTGTATTTAGCTATTTCAACGGTAAACAGAAATTTACACCTGAGAAAGGCCACAAAAGGAAGCGCCCAAACACTAAATATGAGAATAAAGTTTCAGTCTGTTCTATAAAATATAAAGATCCCAACCCTCTTAAAATTTAAAGCTCGAAGAACGATGAAAATCCATTTTGTTGAGACTGTCAAACAAAATTAAAATAATAACCAACGAACAACTTCAGCAATGTCGGTTAAAAAACCCGGAAAACATGCTGTGTTCAAAATTGAAAATTTTAATCCTAATATATTTTAAGGAGAACTAAAAATGTCCTTAGGTTTAAGGTTTCAAAATCCTTGGTTTTCCTCCCTAGAACCCGCGCGTTTTACCCAAGGTTACACTGTAGTGATATATCGACTCGGCGTAGAAGATGAACATTCAGTTTAGTCTGGCAAATCATTCCATGAAACTTTTACTCCAACGAGGTTTTCTTTAATAATGATTGTGACAAACATGCCAGGAAGGAGAGTGAACTCACTTGTCCGTTATAAACAAAATTAAAATAATAAGCAAAGGGCAATATTAGAAAAAAAAAGTTATTTAAAAAAAATCGGAACACAGTGTGTTCTAATGGAAAATTTTAGGCATAAAAATAAGGATGACAGAAAACTATATTTGTCTATGGAGCCCGGCTTAGAGAAAGAGCCAAGGATGGGAAGAGTATTTTTCTTTAAAAGAAGTGCAGCATTCACTTCGATATTCCCAATATATTACTCGATTTGACGTGGAAATATAATCGAAATATTGTAGAGAATAAATCGAAAGTTTAAAAAAAGTTGAATAATAATAATGACACAAATCTGAAATAATTCAAGGAATAAATAAAATAGTTTTGGAAGCATTACTTAACTTGTTTTGAAAATTTAAAATTTTCATGTCTCAATCACGTGTCATGTCAGAACTTTTCTATCTTTGCATGTCTTCTTACTTGGACACTTACCGGAGAGCAATTTTGCATGTTTTACGTTCTTGATATTAAATAGATGATCTATTAATTTGTATTTGCGCTAAAGTTAGGTTTGCTCCAAACTATGTCTTCTCTAGATGGGTAATGAAGTGACTCTGCTCTTACTCCTACAGGGTGATCCATTACAGTGACCTTGTATCAAATACGTCTGAGGGGTGAAGGGAACAAACTAGTTAACTAGGAAAAAATTAAATAATTATGAAAATAAAATCCAACATTAGAAATGGTAACGACAAGTGTCATATTTCCTCATATGGAAACATTTGACATTTATTGACCGGGCAGTTATTTACTTTTGATTGAAAACTGTTAAATCTTTCTCTTAAAAACAATTTTTCAGAAAATTTTTCAGGTTTGCTGAAGTTATCACTCCTTCCAATATTGATGGGGATCTGCCTTCCTAATCTTTTCCTTGACGTAAGGAAGAACGTCAACATCTTGATTATGTCATTATTTTCTCTTTGAGTTACATTTTATCCAGACAGGTTGGTTTACTTGAGGGTTGGTACAACACAATCTTTCATGTCAGCTGTATAGCATAGTCATCTAAGTAAACCTCTATTCTGAGTCGGCTAAATAAGTCTATAACCTCTTAGAGATTACGTTATGTCCTCACAGTGCACATCACTGTTTTTAACACTTGGAAGACCTATCCAAGACGAAGCGTACTTTAAAAATAAGTATTCCAAATCCTGACTCGTACACCGACAACGGACAGCGGCGGGAAATATGCAGCAATTTCAACCGCGAGTTAAACTCATATCTGCATGTAAAACCGAAGCAGGTAGCTTGTTGTTTGTGTCGTCAGTGAGAAAATCTGACAGATTTACTTCGATTGCAATGCTTAAACGTCTTATAATTTTTTGGCAAGGAAAATAAATAAGAAAAGTTTGGTACGTTTTTGTCAGTGCGTTAAAGTTGTTAGAATCAATGCTAAACGAATCGGAAATCTCAGTTTCTTGGAAAATATAACTGGATTGGATCTAAGAAAAATTTTAACGGTTTGGTATACTCATTAGATAATGTAATCCAATGGTTTTCTAAAATTAGCTCATGGTTAAAAATTCTGACGTTAGGTATGTGGCACTCATTAACAAAACTATATAAATTACCAATTTTGATTAAAGATAATTAGAAGTGTTTTCTTGTTACTAGCATAAATATCTATTGGATACAGTCATATCAGTAACTGATATCACTTAGAGACAGCCATCTCAATAAATCATTTTCTCGAATTTATTAACAATAACTTACGTTACAAACAGATTAAGCATCGCATTACAAGTGTTTTTTTTTTTTTGTAAATAAATTTATTTTCTAATATATACGTAATACACATCTATAAATATATTTATAAATACTGTTATTGATAAAGTGAGTTTTCCAAGTTTCGCACCCAGGGTAAATCTCCGTCTAACGTCGGTGTAATAATCGAGGCTAAGAATGGACATCAAGC